TATTTATCGCCCCATCGTGTTTTGAAGCAAAATGGTACACGTTTAAGAAAGTTGAGGAAAATAAGGGTAAATAGGGGCAAGTACGAAAAATGTAAGCAACGTCTCCGGAAAAAAAAAAAAAAAAAAAAAAAAAAAAAAAAAAAANNNAAAAAAAAAGGATTTCACAATCATAAATAAAAGTCTTCAATCAGAGCCCTTAAACAGTACCTCTTTAGCTGCTCGCAAATGAATGTTCCTTCCCTCTCCAAACTGCCAACACCTCATCTGTTCTGAACCTTTGCGTAAAAGTAGATTCCTCGAGAGGAGTTGTTATGCCGTGAGCATACGCAAGCAAGCCCGTATAAGCAATCATTGCCCCATTGTCAATGCAATACCGATCATCAGTAGCAAATAATTTCCCGCCCCTTTCGGCACACATAGTGCGCATCATCTCCTGCAAACGCTCATTGCAACCCACACCACCAACAATCAGCACATCCTTCGTGTCACAATGTGCCATGGCTCGTTCGGTGATCTCCACAAGCATTGCAAATAAGGTTTCCTGAAAAAAAAAAAATAATAAAGGCCGATGTTTTAAGGGGAAAATCTTTTTTGAAATTGGCTATACCAACAGGCACGGACTTTCACCAAAGATGTTAGTTACTCGATGAAAAAACTTACTTGAAGTGAATAACACAAGTCTGCAGGGGTGCATTCGTTATTTTTAAGCTTCTCATTGGCAGTGGCTTCAATGTAGCTCAAAATCCCACTAAAAGAAACATCCATTCCCTTGACAACATATGGGAGATCTATAAATTTCTCTCCTTTCTTCGCAAGCTGAAAGAAGGTATGTTACTTTTATATTGAAAATTCCAAATACAATAATGTCCCCAGACGAGCCTAATGAATCGAATTTTCGAATGTTACCTGCTCAATGTTATATCCAGGACTGGGATCATTTGAAAGCGTGAGAACCCTAGCAAATCTATCCAAGCAATTTCCAACTGCAATATCTATTGTCTCGCCAAAAATACGGTACCGCCCCTCACTATATGCAATAACCTGAGTATTTCCCCCACTCACATACAACACAACGGGATCATCAGCCCCGGTCACGATTCTCCCCATCTCAATATGTGCCACACAATGATTAACAGCAACAATTGGTTTCTTCCAAAGTTGTGACAGGATGCGGATAACTATGGCCGATACCTAACATGGGAACAGCTCAGAATTAAGCTCCATTCGTAAGGCATTAAAAGAAAGAAATACAACAAGTTCATTCCCAGAAAGCAGTAGTAATTCTTTCAAGAACGATACATGCACATGAATGCTTGGCAAGATTGTGCACCACAGTTACAAATTAAACACAGCAAACAAACGGTATACTAAAAACTACTGAAGGAAAATAAATATATTATAGATACTAGATTCAGTTGTAGATACAATTATAACATTCTTCAGTTACAGACACGTCAGGCTCCATCTTGTGAACAAGAAATGTTACATTTGCATATTATGAGGAATTGCCCTTTGAACCCATAAATAGATTAGAAAGTGTAAAACAAGGCAAATTATAACTACCTTGCATCATGGACCATGGACTTAAAACTATTGTTTCCTACTCATAAACTATGTTTGGTAACCAAATAAGCTAGCTTATAAATTTTTTGTATTCAAATATGCTTTGTTTGGTAGGACGAGCTTTTTTAAAAAGCTCGAACTTATCTCATAAGCTTACGCTCCTTTGGGTAGCTTTTCAAATAAGCTAGTTGAAATTTTCAACTAATTTTACCAAACATTTTATCATTAAGCTAGCTTTCAGCTATAAGCTATAAGCTATATGCTCGAACGTCACTTATCGGCTAGGTTATCAAACAACCATAGTTTAAATGGTGGCGCAGCAGTGATTAGGAAACTTTCGCAAAGTCCACCAAAGCACTATGCATTAATCATCGATTCAAGTCATAAAATCTATTAGAGAAAATTCGCAAATATGTAACACATTTTGTCTTTGTATTTGCAAAAACTCCACTTTTATCTTTCATGACCTAAACTACAACACGAAACGAGTAACATCCCAACAAGACGCCCATTTTTGTAAAGAGAAAGCGAAAAGGTGGCATTTTTGCATTTTTCCAAATCCATTTAAGTGCTGGTCTAATCCCCACTTTCTTGAATGAGGGGGAAACATCCAAAAAAATTAGAAAAAAAAAAAAAACCAATGAACTTTCAACAATTATGAATTACCTTGAACAACATATAAATAAAACTAACAGCATTGCAAGTATAACTCTATTACCAAATTTTATTAGTTTCTTCCTAGAACAAAAAACTTAACTACAATCAAACATCTGTGGTATCAAAATTACGAGGAGCACGAAATGCTACCTGAAGTGGGGCGCCCATGCCAGGACCTTTCGTGTAGCAGAGGCAGTCAACTTGTTCTGGAGTGATCTTAGCCTCCTGCAGCGCCGATTTTACGAGCGGTAGCACGTGGTGGAGGTGGTGGTGGGCAGTTTCCCGAGGGAGAAAGCCTTGCCCCGGCGGAGTTATGTAAGTATGGCGTGGATTGGAAAGAATGGTGCCATCTAGAGTCACCACCCCCACGCCAATCTTGTTAGCAGAGCCCTCGAAACCTAAGGCAATCAGTCGGTTCTTCTCCGCCATAGTTGTTTGTCTTTCCCGAGAGAGAGAGTGTGGGCGGGGCTCTAGGGTTTACGAAGAAATTTTAACACTGTCAGGATTTTTGCGAAATATTAGCATGAGGTGACAGGCAAAAATCGGCCCAAACTCGAGATAGACAAAACTTTCCATTGCATAAAAACATATAAAATGGGTTCCTGAAAAGTTTATGGATTTTTATCAAAATCTTGGAGGCATGATATATAATCCTTTCAAACATGATTATCCTACAAAGGTGAAGTAAAACATGCAACCCGATACCACCCAATTCGTACGGATTACACAATAAAATAAAATTTATGTCCCACATTTTACATTTAGTTTTTGTTTTTGTTTTGCTGAACAACAGTTAATTCGAACCTCTCTAATTCTCTAGCTTCTCAAGTTAGACTTACACAACATAACAGAAAAACCAATATCAAGGAATACAGGATTTTATTCAGTTGGGCAATTGGGATTGGGAAACTGGGAAGTAGGAAATCACGTGTAGTTCCAGACCCAGATCTGGCCCGCCGACCCGCCCTGCCCCGCCCCGTGACCCGCAAGGAATACAGCAGAACGGACCTGTGACCTGGTCCGCTCTGGGGTGGGTCGACCCCACCTGACATGTCCTATGATTTTATTTGCGCTTTATTTACCTCATTGAGTCATACTATATTGGAGCAAAAGTTAAAATAGTATCATATCCTAACAAGCCAAAAAACACACCAATAGTCTTACAACTCAAAATAGAACAATTCAAAATTGGCAAACCACTAAAATTAAAAACACGGCATAATTTTTAAACTACTTATGAATACAAAGTCGAACAAAAATCGACGAACAACAAACAAAGTGCCCAGGATATAGAATCTTCCCAACACCTTCATACGAACATAAAAAAGGCAACATTATAGTAAAGTGAAAAAACATGGGGCGATCTATGTGCATTTATATCACAAGTTAGTCAAGAACCTAGACAATGTATAAATGAATAGGGGTGAGCAATAGTGCGGCTTGGTGAAAAATCGAACCGAACCTCAAAAAATAAAAAACCGTAAATTTTTCAGAAGTCCAAACAGAACCACACCGCACCGTTATGGAGAACAAACTTAACCGAAACCACACCGAAATTTTCGGTTTCAATCCGGTTTTGGTTGGGTGAAAAAACAAACCGAGCCTAAAAAACCGAAGACCGAAAATTTTCAAAAGTCCAAACAGAACCGCACCATTATGGAGAACAAATAGAACCGAAACCGGACCAAAATTTTCGGTTACAATCCGGTTTTGGTTCCGTTAAGGTACTGTTTGGTTGGGGGAAAAGAAGGGGAGTAAAGGGAGGGGAGGGGAGAGGTTTTTTTATATTTTCCTTGTTTGGTTGGGAAATTTGGATAAAAGCGGAGGGAAAATTATAACTTAAAATATCCTCCATCCCCATTTTTGCTTCTCTCCAAAAATGGGAGAATTTGGAGGGGAGGAAATATTTTAATAAATTCAAATTTTACACTTATTATATATAATATTTTAGTTTTTATTTATAACATCATTAAGGACATGATTATCATTCTAACATTATTTTTTCTTCCCTTTCATTTTCTTACCAAGTTTACCATTTTCCCCAACATCCCTCTAACAAAATCCTTAAAGATATTTTGCTCCATCCCCTAGACGGGGAAGCTGTTTTACATCATCTCCCCTCCCCTTCTCTCCCCACCGTTAAAATCCCTCCCTTCCCTTTCCCTCAGTTGAACCAAACATACCCTAACCGCATACCCCTAACCGCAAATAACCAGAAAAAAATAAAAATAAATAAATTGTAAGACAATGTAAAGAGCTGAGATAACATCATAACAATTAACACATTAGTCTCAATACACAACTCCAAATTAGCACAACATTAAACACTTCAATCTCCATACTCAATTTCAAATAAAACATCCAAAATAAGCATTAACATCCATTAAATACTTCAGTCTCCATACTCAATTCCAAATAAAACATCCAAAATAAGCATTAGCATCCATCCAGGCTTAAGCTTGCCAAAAAAAAAAAAAAAACGAAATGGGGCGGACTACAACGCTACAAGTCTTCAAGTGACGAAATTGAGGCTAGCCGCCGGAAAACCACTCAATTTGAAAGGTTAAGCCGGAGGGAGAGCAAGAGATAGACTGAGAGAGAGTCAGAGAGTCGGAGAGGCGAGAGGCTAGAGCTTACCTGACTTAAGGGCAGCGGAGGTCGGTGATTGAAGAGACAGAGAGCGACGCACGGGCAGAGATGTTGAGCGGCGGCGGCGGGCTAAGAGTCAGAGGCCGAGATAGTTCATATTTGTGAACACGACGCGGCGGGGAGAGATTAAATTGTTGGGCCTAGAGTTTCGGAATAGACGTTGGGCTACAAATAACTGTCCATTCTCACGGGCCATGTATTGGTATGAGTTTGAGCCCAGCCACCCAACAGAAAAAACAGAATTAATGACACTCCAGTCCATTTGTTTAAACATTTTACACCAAGTAATGTTCACGTGTTAATATGTCCACCGCTTATGTGGCATGCATATACTGATGATGTATTTTTTGAACATATTAACATCACCAATGTATGCATGACACATAAACGATAAACATATTAACATGTGTCCACCATGAGTAGGAGAGCATTAATGTTACACCAACATCCTCACATCTTATTTAGACAACATTTCTTTTTGGAGTTTTATCAATACAAGACCCGAAAGGTGTGTAAACTATCAATGCGGGTCTGAAAGATTTTTTTTTTTTTCTCAATTCAGGACTTAGATGTTATAAAACAATCAGGGATTACATGAAAACAAGTATTTGATTTCTCCTCGACTTGTTTTATATTCTTTACTTCTCTTTAAATTTGGTCCTTTTTTGTACAAAAAAAAAAAAAAAAAAAATCTGGTCCTTTCCTAATCTATTATTTTGATATCACTAGAATGTGCTTGCTATACTATCACCTGCGGAGCCCACTTGGATTTCAAAGAAGAAGGTCGAAATAGGTAAGAAATGTTTCTTTAAATTATCGTCATGTGTCAGATGATTAAATACAAGTTTTGATAGTTTGTTGTGGATGATTTTAACAAGTTAGCATGTTTTGTTTTGCTCCAAAACAATGTTACTTGCCTGCTTGCTTAAGACTCGACTTAAGATCCATTCATCCATTCAGAAAAGACGGGAAATCACATGACAACAACTTACGAGCCTAAGCGAGCACGATACTTTCTACCAAGTTTCTTCACCGCAACTTGCTTCTTCAGGGCCTCTGTTGATATGGCTCATATATTAACAAAGGAAGGAGGCAGGCTGATGCCTGCGAGCGTAACGGAGCGAACGTAGCG